CCAGCTGCTGTCATTCGGCAACTTCCTCGAGTAGTAGCAACATGGAATTCTTTGGAAAGCTCATGCGCCTCTTTGGTGTTGGCAAACCCAACATGGATCCAATTGCAAATCTACCAGTAGAAGTGGTTCAGTCTATTTTCAGGCAGCTTGATCCTCAATCACTCCTGAATGCAGCTCGAGTATCCCGGGGATGGCATAATGTCTGCCGAGGTGACTCTCGACTGAGGGCCACCGCCAGACGCCATCTCAGGAGGGAGAAAAGGCTTGCTTACGACCTCCAGAGGTCGTCCAGGAGGACAACGGAGGCAGTTGTGAGACCTCAGAAGGTACACACTGCCTCTCGCCCAGTCGTCTTCACTTACGGACCTTCTGGTGTCACACTGGGGTGCACGAAGCCTCAGTACATAGGACGGCCTTCTGGATCTCGACCCCGGGTGATCGCCTCCAAGAGGAGGTTACTCAGGTTTTAGGCAGAATAGCAGTAAGTTAGATGTTTATTGCATAGGGTAAGAATTGCTGGCCAGCAATTTAGGTTAAGGTATTTGTAGATTGACAAATTTAATAAATGCACTTATTGTTAATGTAATTAAACTTGTAAATTAATCGAATTTAAAATTAATAATGAAATAAATTTGCCTTGAAAAATAATATTTTCTCTTAAAGTTTCTTGTTCCCCCAATGTATTTCCATTTAATTCATTTCGTCACAGCAAATATATAGGATCCAGGCTGAAAAATATATAGGTATGGATTTTCATCTAAATCTAACGCTGGTTCCATAACCGGGTCATTGGTATGTGTTCATATTTTGAAATTATATTTCATCTGCTTTATCAATTAATTAGAATACCCCTCAATCTACCGTAGAAATCATTTTTATCGCCGGATTTCATCGGTACCCTACTTATAATTCTTCTTTACCGGCCAAAAATTCATCCGGTTCATTGGAAACCTATTTTCGACTGATTAGAATTTCAAATCCGAAATCGTTGCGACGGCGCCACCTTATCCACTGCCATATTTTAATTGCTGCATTTACCTGCCAATCTATCGACGAAAATTGTCAATACTCCCTTAATCAATAACTTGAAGAATAGAATATTTCATCAACTGCAAATTCACGCGGGCAGATTACTTGAAATACGTTTTCAATCGCGCGCTGCTGTTGGGCTGTGAAATCGGGAAATCCGTGAAAACCCAAAGAAAACCCGTCATCAGTCAGTGAAACCTAGAATGTGCTCTTGCCCTCTTCCATAAACTCCCCCCAATTAGTGTCTAAAACCCCCGGAAAACTGACAAAATGGGTATTCCTGGGCTATCTCGATACATAATTCAGAAGCAGTGGCGTTTTCTGGATGTGTTCGATCTGGACGACTCGGATCTAGTGGTGGACGGTGTCGACCTGTGCCACAATCTCTACCAACAAGTTGACAAGCAGGGTGGGCTCATGGGTGGCCTGTACGACATCTTCGCCTCCACCAGGAACTTCTTCCAAGCCATGCTCCTCTGCAACGTCCGGCCCATCGTCATCCTCTACAGCATCGAAGCCCTCAGCAAGGAGGACTACATCCTCAAGTTCCAGGACGAGCTCAAAAGAATAAGTCAACGGCAGTTCATGTCCCCTCCTCCCCTCCTCCGCGACGTATTCGTGAGTGTCCTGCGAAGCCTGAAAATACAATTCCAATTCCTTGAGAAGTCGCCAGTCAGCTTGAGGGACGTTAAGAAGCTGGAGCACTCTGAGAGGAAGAGAATCATTGATGAAGTTCTTGGGGTCGACGGAGTTGATGAACTTCAAGAACTTCCGAATTGTTGGAGACTTCATACGGCTGCGATGGTCTTCTGGATGAGGTAGAAGGCGCCTCCTGAGAAAACGAGAATTCATGTGTTGTCTGTGATACTGATGATGGTGCTTGGGATGATTGACGAGAAGATCGGGTACTTCAGGACGATGGGGGTTTTTTAGAGAAGTATGGAGACAAATACAGGGGGATCGCTTCGAGGGCTGCGTCAGATTGTGAGGGGTCGAAGGGGGCGAGTCTCAGGGAGACGTTGAGATCAGTCACGGAAGAGGAGTGCATCGCAGCAGCGCCATTTTTCACGTCAATTCTGAAAATTAATCCTCCCGGGAGAGATTGGGCAACGATTGTTTATAGTTTTGCGCAGTTTCATAGTTGTTTGGACAATGCTATTCTTATGAACGCAATCCTGGGGTCGCCTTACCATCGGGTCCCCGTGCACAGACTTTACAGTGGAATGATGCTTTATAAGTTGTTTAAGATTATCTCGAGGCAGGGGGATATTGAGGCTTATTTGCGCGCTGAACTACTGTATGCGCCAGTTGTTATGGAGATTTTTATTAAATTGAAAGATCTGATAGTGGGAATGATTGAGGGACGAAAGTGAGAGGGTTTTTGTGGTTCTAATTGATTGGGAGAAAGGAAATGGAGGTATAATTCGGTAGCGAAGTGGTAAAACGGTTCAAGTTGATTTTGACTATTCGTCAGTTTTCAATGAATATCTCGTAATCCAAGGCAAATAGCCGATTCTTGTTTGGAACTTTTCTGTAAAGCAAATTGAGAACTGCAAAAAAGGTATTCACGAAAATTTTGCTATCTCCGTTAGATTCGGAGATATTTCTCGAAAACTCAGCTAAGAGATAAGTTGACTTAAATCGTTTTACCACTTCGCTACTGAATTGATGATGTTTTGCGATATGTTTAACAAATATTGTATATACGTTGATGATTTTTAACATTCACCGATTCATTCGATTTGGAAGATATTAGTTCTATCGGGAGAAATATTTTGGATAGTTCAGAATTTATTTATCTTCAGGCTGCTTCTCCGTAATGAAGAGTAATGAATGCGAGGGAGACGTCGAGATCAGTTTTATATTAAATCTGGGGTTGATTCGATAAAAATCTGCAGTCATTGTGGGATTTTTATTGAATTGAAAGATTTAATACTGTCAATGATTGAGAGGGATAAGTGATAGGCGTCACTTATGGATCTAGTTGATTACGAGATTGTCAAGGAGTGGAAGTGCAATTGATGAAGTTTTGAGATTATGAATTATGAATCATGAAAGACTATAAAGGGAGAGGGATTTTTTCTCATTCTAATTGATTGAGAAAAAGTCAGGAAATGGAAATATAATTGATTATGTTTTGAGATATTTTTAACAAATATTGTAATACGTCGATGATTTTTAATATTCACCTTCGATTTGGAAGATATCACTTCTATTGGGAGAAATATTTTGAATAGGTCAGAATTTATTTATCTTAATCTTAAGGCTGCTTCTGAAATCTTTTCTAAGTTTACTCTAAATAGTTATGAATTATGAAAGACTAAAAGTGAGATTTTTTAAAAATTCTAATTGATTGAGAAAGAGTCAAGAAAACGTAGTATAATCAATGCAGTTTTGAAGCATTTTCAAGAAATATTGTTACATTAATCATTATCAACATTCACTTTGGATTTGGAGAAGAATGTATTGCATTGAGAAAGATGTTTTGAATAAATTGTAATCGATTTTCCTTTGAACTTCCTCCATTCTTTGTAGATTGACCCTAAATATTCTTGTTTAAATTATCCAACTTTCATGATCGCAATAATTATCATAACACATATTTAGGGGAGGACCGGGCAAAATGGGACGTATTGAGATCTTTTCCAATTCTCAATATCTTCATTTATAAAGTTAAAATCATATTTACACGGATGATTCAGCGCAAAAAACAGATAGAATTTTTCAATAGAATTCCAATAGAAATTCTATAGAAACCCCATAGAATTCCAGTAGAATTTTCTAGCGAATTCGCTAGGTTTTCTATGGAATTTTTTCATACATGTTGGAATTTTCAAAAAAGTACATTTACACGCATGATTCACGTGTAAACAGTTGTCGAACAGGCGTCACGGAAATTCTCGATAAATTATTAGCAGAATGGTATTCGAAAAATAATTGATGTATCACCACTCGCATAGGTCTCAAATTATATTTTGTACAATATTCACTACTTTACAATAACATGGACTTTAAATGTAAAATCTTAACAGATTCATGAAATCGTCAAAACTTTACATATTTTCAAAAACTATACTGCATACTAATGCCAAAAATGGAACGTCAATCAAAGACTTCCGTATTCCTATCGTCGAAACCATTATCCCGTATTAATCACTCCTCATCGATTGGTGATGAGTAACGTTGATTCTCGATGTAAAAGTACAAATTTTCCATCATCAAAATTACGGTAGAGATGGCCAGACCAATAGATAGAAGAAATAGTGCAGGACTGAATTCCGTCATGCCCATGGGAGTAGGTCTATCATTGTAGTTCTCAGGACACGGGGGACGAGTACCACGCCATATTTTTTGCAAACGACGCATTATCCCCGCTTGTACAATCTTCCGCATTCTGGGAGACAAGAACATTTCAATGTTATTACTCGATTCATGTATAAACAAAAAAGGTGTCTCAACATATTAAATTCGATGGAAATAAATGAATATGTGCATGGAGAGAAATATTCAACAAAAATTACGTATCTTTTCCGTAATTCCGGAGCGAAATGTGGTTGTAGGAAATTTTACGAAACTGTCACGTAATTTTTACCTAAAGTTACGGAATTTTTCCAGAGCGTTCCGTAATTTTTACCTGAATCTTCTGTGAAAAATTACGATACCGTCACTTATATTTTCTGAGGATTTCGTAATCAGTGAGCGACCTGTGAGTTCCGTAATTTTTACTGCACATTTCTCTCCGTGTGGTCAAACAATTCGTGTTTCACTCAAAATAATAGCAAGTTAAAAATGACTACAAAGGGAATTTTTAAGAATGTTTATCCAAAATCGCAAGTTTTAAAAAAAATTGATTTTTTTTTCAACTGAGAGATGAAGTTATTCCCTTTATTTTGATGAAAATTTCAATCCACCAACCCACGTTTATTATTTAGAAATGGAGTGGGCAAAATGTCCAAACGCATGCACTAATGTGCGCTTATGTGAGATGGAATCTTTCAAATATTTTCTGTTTTTGCGCGGGTACCCCAAATTTTTTTCTGACCATTCGATTCAGTATAGTTTTGCACATTACCTTCCATTTTTATTTCTATTTTTAGAGTCTTATAGTAGGTGAATTATTCATTTTCAACGTGAATCCCATAAGAGCCCGTGTACAATGAAAAATTTGTTTATTCATTTCTGGCGAGACTATTGCGATTAATTTTTTTTTAATATCAAAGAAGTTGGTTTCATCTGTTCTCACAGCAAAAACGAATGTCTGAATTTCACACATCTTTCATAGACATGTTTCAGACACTATAAAAAACGTTTGAATAAAATGAAAATGAATTTCAGACGAACAGGTGTTCAAACATCTTAATTCATATTTGAAATTCAGACAAATTTTCATTTTATTCAGACGTTATTTAGAATTAAATTGTAGAATTTTTTCTTGAACATGAAAAAATAAGATTTGTTGAAAATGGCTAAACATCCTTAAATCAATGTAGGAGAGGTTGGGGTAAAGCGGAAACTTTTGACGTTTTTTAAAATGTGAATAAGGGGTTCAAATGCTGATAAAATTTAATTTTTTTTTTCAATACAAAGAACAATTCGTTCGCTTTGTGACGAGCCTTAATTGAGCTCAATTGATAAATTTGTTTCTGACTTATGAATAATTTTAAAAAAGTCTAAAGTGTCCATTTTACCCCACCCTCCCCTATCTGTGTCAAAATTCAACTGACCCATAATTCATAATTTTTTTGAATGGTGAACCTCTCGGCATAATCAATGAGATACTCCGAGGTTTTCTGAGACGTATTTCTTCAACTGCGCATATCTGATCCTCAGAAAATGTACTCTACAACATTCAATACCACAATAAGGGCCCAAAATAGCACTTGGTGTATAACTTCGATAGAAGTTTTTTAAACGTGCTCCCTCACCGTCAATACTGGGTAGGTAGCAGTGGTTTCCGTGAGATATGCATATCCGCCATCTTGTACCTTGCGGAAACCTTCCTCCACTGATAGAAAGGAATTCGGATGTGATTTAATTTTTCTGTTGTATAATTCAATCACGTCAGGATCAGTTGATGTCTGAAAATATAAGCCACTCATCTAGAAACTGCACTGAGACCCAAAATTCCTAATATCTGAAATATATTTACTTGCGACAAGTAATTTTTCTGCAACAAAATCGAAGACGCACTCCGCGCGCCGGACTATTCGATAGATTTTATATGATTCATCGTGTTAATATTTGAGTAGATTGGAATCAATATGTTCTTTCACGTATTCGAACATCTATAGTATTGTTGTATTTAATTAAGAAATAATTCAGGACAAATCGAAGGGGCGTATTTATTGACAGTTCTTCAGAATCAATCATAGAACAAAAATGGATAACGCATGAAGGTATTCCCGAACATTAGAGAATGACAATCATCTTTCTTTTTATTTTACAAAAGAGGAGAAGAGAATAGATTAAACCAATCGATTCCGTAGCAGTATTATTAATGAGAAATTCTTCGAAATCCGTGAAAACTAAGATGTAGCGAAGCTACTTATATTTATTTCGCATTATTTCAATCTATTGTATTCGAGCTCGTCTTAGCAGCCGAATCCTCATTACGTCACCTCGCGACAATTCGCAATAATTCGGACATCATCGATCGGTGGATTAATACCGTTGTCGCAGGAGCACACTATTCCAGCTCTCATGGTGTAAACCAAACTAACATTGCTGTGAATAAATTCTAATACGATATATAATAATTCCGAGTGTTATACCTTACAGAACCCTTCGATCCTTACCGAATATCCCACACTTCAATTGAGAACTAATACATACTTCCTTGGAAATCACTCACACTATCACCATCAATGATCAATACCATCAACGTCATCAACAAAATCAGTATCATCATCATGTATACGATTTCTCTTTCAGACATTTAGGAATAACCGTGTGACATCTCCTTTTTATATAAGAAAGATAAGATTGCTCAATTCTCCCAGGCATCTCAACTCACGTGGCCCACTCGGAAGAAAATATAATATCGAAGTGAAAAGAGAAATGACGAGGAAAACCCAGGTTATGAAAAAAAAAGTTGCGACTGTGGGATCTGAGTGTGCAATAAAACTGTAGACGGGAGAGTTGAGGAAAGTAATTAAAAAAAGAACAGTTCTTGGGTTTTGGGCAAGGTTGGTGGACATGAGGTGTACACGTGTACCTGAAGAATGTTAGGGGAGGGTAATATTTGAGTGAATGAAGAAAAATGCGAGAGAGAGAGAGAGAGAGAGAGAGAGAGAGAGAGAGAGAGAGAGGGTTTGGAAGGTACGCAAGGTTGCAGGAGGGCAGTTGCCAAAGAATACACGTATGAGAAAATTCAACAGAAAATCTAGCGAATTCGCCAGAAACTTCTATTGGAATTCTATTGGAATTCTATTGGATATTCGATAAGAAAAAGTCAATTTACCTTGAACAAATTATGGTAGTATTGCACAAAATGCGAACCCACTTGAAAATCACTGTCACTGAGATCTTTGATAGTCTTAATCCATCGAGGAGGAACGGTCATTAGAGAACTGACAATACTTGCTGAATAGAATTGATAGAGAAGAAGAGCCCAGAAAAATAGTGAAAGAAATATGATTCGTCCAGAGAAAAAAATCGGGCTATCGCTCAATCCTGTGGATGAAAAACAATTTGACGATTCATAGCACAAAAAATTTACCGAAAAATTATCAATTCGAAACTGATTTTCACCTTGCTGAGATAATGCTGCCACAGTTGTAAGACCGGTGTCACTCACATTCATCTCGGTGTCTTGGGTTTTAGCTTCATAATGCTGCTCTAATATCAAAGAAAGCAGTAACAAAGCCCAATAGATAGCGGCCACCAATAAAATCATCCACCACAAATCATTCGTGAAAGGTTTCAAGAAATTGTTACACAGGGTTGATGTCTTTGGATGGAGAAATGTAAACGCAACGTCAGCGTACCAAGTTTCTACAGCATATTCTACGAAATCCATTCGGCTCTGATGAAACTCGAATGGAGTGAGACTCATGTCAATGAAACCTGATATTATGTCTCCAATGAGTCCATTGAACGATCCGTTGACCAGATAGCCCCAAGTTGTTGCTTGATGTATTTTCATACTGTGAATATGCTCGATAAGTATAACAGAGTTATTACAGTTTTATTTTTTTCTCGTCATATGACAAATTTATAACCGTTGTATAAAAGTCGTGACGAAAATTTTATGGCAGATCATCCATTTAGTCGTGATATGACTGTCATATCATAATTTGGTCATGTGACATAAATTGTCATAAATGACCTCTATCATGTGACGGTCATGTGACGTGTCATAACATTTTTGCGCACACTGAGGAAAAAAATGACTTATCAAGGAATCATTGTCTTGGGAAAAGAATTTGTTTTTAAGAGCGTATTTTTCCAGGCCAGTTATTCCCAGGTGGTCCATGTACATTAATCAGCCTCCCGTAGTGATCTTTTATGAAATTCACTTCGTGCATGTGTGCAAAAGATGTTAGACCATGTGGAAAGATAATATAAATTTTTTCAGATTTTTTGAGGCGTTTTTCGAGGCAGCATAGGCCATTGAAAGTTTCACGAAAATATTTGACCTAGTGGCAATTCGTAGTTATGAGGTTTGGTGAAAAGTCAAATGGCTCTACAACGGTCTTTGTCGAGTAGCGAGTGTCCCTCCGTGGTACTGGAAATTTTTTCAAACAGTAATTCACCGCTCTACCCGGACCGGTCGACCGAACTACCTAGAGAGGCCCTTCCTACCAAGCGTTTGAAAAACGGATAATAATTTTTTCGATTTTTCCAAGAAGAATCAATTAATAATTGTCTCAATTATTGAACAATTATTAATCAATTAATTAATAATTGTCCATCTCCAATATTACAATTATGTTGAATTATGAGATGATCATGCGGCATGTGATCTTGAATGAACACCCTTCATTATTTTTCAATTTTTTCAAGTTTGAGATTTTCTTATGAAAAGTAATTTGGAATACTTCTAAATATTAATAATTGTCAATGGAGTTTATTCAACGTCATATGGACCACCATCACTTGGACCACCTGAAAGTGACTACTGGAGAAATACACTCCTAAAAAAAAATTCTCCCAAGAAAATAATTCGTTAGTAAAAGTAATGTTTTTTGTCAGTGCATCTCTATTCTATTCGCCTCAAGATTTACCTGAAATTATACATATCTTGAAGGTACATTGCCACAGGATAGTGGGCTCGAGTCATAGTGTCCATTTTTATATTCATGTATGTCGATAAGTAAGTCATGAAGTCTGGTAAAGCTGGGTAGTACAGCTAGAACACAGAAATGTTGTAATCAAGGCATTGAAGTGGAAATAGTTTATAAACACTCAGAAGAGATGCATCGTACCACAACTGAAAAATTCAGGCACAATTGCTGTAAATCAGCTCGACGTGTGTATTTATATTGACTCAATTGATCATGCAGTCCATTATTGGGAGTCCACTGACCCTTGTCAATGACGTTGACAGAACCACCATGACGATAACTCGGATTGTAAATGTCATACAGTTGGAATTGATTCCCATCACGAATTGCTGATGTTAATTCTGATGCTACTGTGAGCGCCAGACCCTCGAGATAATCCTCGGGTATTGGTGATAAGTTTGATAACACGAGCCAGTGGTAGGACTCATTGAACGGAAGATGGTTGGAAAACTTACCATGCAAAGAAAATCATGAAATTGATTATGATGAATACACGTATGAAAAAATTCAATAGAAAACCAAGGGAATTCGCTAGAAAATTCTATAGGAATTCTATGGGGGTTTCTATAGAATTTCTATTGGAATTCTATTCGTTTTTTGCGCTGATTCTATTGGATATTCAATAAGAAAAAGTCAATAGATTTCAAATTTCTGTTTGAATTTTTCTCTTGAGATTTTTTCCATAAGAATGCTTGGACATCAATTTTCCAAGTTTTTTCCACTCGGATTGTTCAATGCAAAGTAAAATAAAATCCAGCGGAAATAACTAAGAAAATGTGTGCCCAATAATTCTAATAGAAAAAATCTAGGAGAACAATTCAAACAGAAATTTGAAATCTATTGAATTTTTCTTATTAAATACCCAATAGAATCAGCGCAAAAAAAAAGAGTATTTTTCAATCGAATTCCAATAGAATTCCTACAGAATTTTCTAGCGAATTCGCTAGGTTTTCTAGNAAAAATTCAATAGAAAACCAAGGGAATTCGCTAGAAAATTCTATAGGAATTCTATGGGGGTTTCTATAGAATTTCTATTGGAATTCTATTCGTTTTTTGCGCTGATTCTATTGGATATTCAATAAGAAAAAGTCAATAGATTTCAAATTTCTGTTTGAATTTTTCTCTTGAGATTTTTTCCATAAGAATGCTTGGGCATCAATTTTCCAAGTTTTTTCCACTCGGATTGTTCAATGCAAAGTAAAATAAAATCCAGCGGAAATAACTAAGAAAATGTGTGCCCAATAATTCTAATAGAAAAAATCTAGGAGAACAATTCAAACAGAAATTTGAAATCTATTGAATTTTTCTTATTAAATACCCAATAGAATCAGCGCAAAAAAAAAGAGTATTTTTCAATCGAATTCCAATAGAATTCCTACAGAATTTTCTAGCGAATTCGCTAGGTTTTCTAGCGAATGTTTTCATGCGTATAGTCTTGATATGGGACAAGTTACCTTGTCAATAATATTTTCACTGAAGGGACAATCAAAATCCAACACGATTCCCAAATGGTAATAATTGACACGCAATATATCTGTCAAATCGACATCATCTGCTGTTGATTGATAAGTAATAGCTGTATCAAGGCCCATGATGTTCCGCGATATGTCAACTGCGGAGAAATTTCATTTCTAGATTAGTCCGCGCGCTCTGCAAATAGTGTTATATTAGATTTCTGACGTTAATATCCTCCCTGCAGCGCCTGACTGTCTGTCTTTTTGCCAGAATTATGTTCAGCTTATCTTACCAATTAACTCACTATTTACTGCTTTTGATTATTGATTCCTTTTGATTTTTGTGTCCATGTAAGCAAGTTCATTTTCATATCTTACCCCCGGTATAATGGTACCATGTACCAGAACAGTATGAAATAAATAAATAAAAAATAATAAAGTATTATCGTAATATTTTTATCGTATACTATCATCGTTTATAAAAAAACCTAATGGCACAACACGGCGAATCGATCGGCGAGACTTGCAATCGGCGAGACTTCGAAAATATTTAAGAATAAGAATCATGGATTGCGAGAATAAACATGATAATTGGAGGTCTATAATTGAGTCAACTCATTAGTAGGAATGTGTCTTATCGAGAAATATTGCAGTTTATTCCAGTTATACCTGCATAATCCCAACAAGCGAATATGACAATTTGATGGATATTGCTCGCTTCATAATAGTCCCTGATGAAATCAGCCAGAATTTTGTCCGATCGGCAGAGCTGGATAAGAGTGACTGATACGAATAACCAAGCAAATGTGCCCATAATGTCTTCATAAATTCAACGGGCAATAACACAGTGGAGATGTCCCTTCTAAACTTCAAACTCACCCCAGTGGGCGAGCCGATATCCACGCGTATTGCATTATGCAAGGTGTATACTTATGCACATATGGCGAATTCCGGGGAGGAACATACAATCATGAAGGCTTTCATTACTAATTTTTGTGGACATTTCTATTAGTTTTTGACGGATTCTATTGCAAAATTTAGCTGTTTTTCTTCACTTCTATTTGAATAGACCTATATTGAATAGAAACCAATTGACGGGTTTTGATTTTCCGATGCGGATTGGTCTATCGTCAAATTTTTATAGAAGTTCATCAGCATAAAGTTGATGATTATTTTCTGCGATTTTTTTTATTCTCTACTTTTGAGAAATTCAAGCAAAGAAGTCACAAAATTTAACAATCTCTGCAGGGGATGCAATCTCAGCAGAATGAATATTGTTGAATGAATGTTGACTTTTTTCTACGAAATATTTAGATTTGAAAATGAAAAGAAATCAAAATTTCTGTCAATGTTATGTTTTAAAAAATCGATAATTTGTCAAATTTTCATCGTTTTCAGATATTTATTAGGAACTGAAAATTTTTAATTTATAATTCTACAGAATGGTAGTTTGAAGCCAAGCCAATGATTTGCAGAAAGCGTAGATTATAGTGGGACCATGTGATTTGTGCTTTTCAGTCGATTTAATATGCAAAGTACACAGAGGGTACCCACATAGGCAATTTGAAGTTTCCGTGGTTCTAGGCATTGAATTTTCGACTCACCCGCAGCTGGGGGAAAGTGCATTTGAGTGCGTGCTCCTCAGTTTCTATTCAACCGCATGCCTCAACGGGCTTAAGGATATCCAAGCACTTTGTTCAAGTTAGAAACTTTTTTTCAAGCAAGATTTCAGTTTAATCGAAAATTTTGCCATATCCTCATATTTTCTGGGATCTTTCATTGTTGAATATATTTTTTCGGGAATTTCTTCAATGAATATTGTGAACAATATTTTATTCAATTTGGACGTAGAACTTTACCTTTGCACATAGGCCTTTTCCCAAAAGGTATGTAACGTCAGTTGAGTTTTACATTTTTTTTATATTTATTACCTACATTACGGGTTTTTTACAGTCATATAAAGAACTGCGGTTATCGACAGATGCCCAGCGGATAAGGGATATAAACAGAAAATTCTAACTGCCAAGAGACATTTGCGCGTATCTTCTTTAGAGAATTTCACTGATAAATAAATCTAGAATAATATTTTCTATTTTTTAAAATTCGTCGCAAAAATGTTTTTCAAGAAATAGCAACTGATCGAATTGAAAATCATTTTGAAATTCTCAATCTGGAGAAGTTCGAATTATAAAAAAAAATTTATTAACGTAAATTAAATTTTAAAACATGCTAAAATTATCAATCTTAATTGTACATCATCAAATAAAATAAATTTTATTGAATTAAAATAATTGATCACAAGCGTTTGAATATAACTTTTTATAGAAACGACGCCCAGATAGTTTCTTATTAGTAAAAGATGGTTATTGACAATTAGTCATGAAAATAAATACATAATTCAGTCAAATTAAATAATTCAATAGAAGATTGTGGGGAGAAATTGGAACTCCTGAAATAATCTCATTAATTAGTCAGAAATGATAAAGTCCACTTCCAAACAAATTTTGATGAATCAATGTTGACGGGATGGAGTACCCCCGAAACATTGTGACTAATAGCTATGGAGAGGGAAGTTGTAGATCAAGGTCTACACGTATTGCACGTTAAACCCTTGGTGCAGTCATAAAACCACTTGCACTCGCGGTTTTTCCTCAGTGTCTCCCGCTCAGTTGGAAAATTTGACGACAACCATTGTACCTAACAAGCATTACTATGAACCAAAGAGTCAATGCTTGTAATATTACGTAAGTTGAAATCAAGTTTTATGTTTAAAACATAGATTCGTAAGAAATTTAATTCAATTTAATAAAAATTTAGTGATAAATTTATATATACAAGATATATTCTTAACAAAATATAACAACAGCTTATAATACCTTAGTAACTACGTACTCAGCCTTTGGCTTTTAACTTTTGTGAATCTTAATTGGTGTCGCGAGAAAAATTAACTGACATAATGACACCCAAAAAAAAATTCTTGATTTAAGAAGGAACTTGTTCAAACCCTCACATTGTAGCTGACAGTAGTAGTTCCTCTTCGACTCATTCATTTCAGTATTGTTTTTTATTGTTGTACTCGAAGTTCCGATGTTGTCATATTTTAGAAAAACTTGCGGATTTGGAAATTAAGATCCGATCAATTAGCCCCTCATGTATAGATATTCCAAATTTTCATTTTTTTCCTCATTGAAGTAGTTTTGAAGAAAATTGCGAGCTAATAAAAAACATTTGCTAGTTAGCACTTTTTTTAGAATAAATTTTTGGAAAATCACCTCTGAAAAAAAAGGCGTTATCCCCTCTATTTCATTATTTCCAAAAAATTTTATCACCAATCGATAGCAAATTGTTTGAAGATTTTTGCGAGTTAAGAAAAAATCGTCAATGCAATCCTATTATTGTGTAAATTAACAATTTCAATTTCAACTGAAAACCAGAGTTGATGACCAGAGTTTGTAACAGAGATGTCAGACAAGATATGAATGTTTTTTTTGACTCAAATGAAAGAGCGG